AAAGAAAGCAGCCGTCACCAATGCAGAAGTCAGAGAGGTTTAAATCAAATCATCCTCCACAACAATGACATTAATTATGCTTTTAACACGTTTTACTGCTTTTTTTTCTCACTTCACGCCACATCTGTGTGAACAATATCCAAAAGATTTACGGTTTTCTTTCGTAATTACAGACATACAGGCTGCACACTTATCAAAATACTTGCTGAGCAATCACGCTATATCGCATTCTCTGCCAAAGATTTGTGTTGGCAGCAGCCATTCAAAACAAAAATGTTGAATCAGGACTTGTGTGGCTTCGGGGGGTGGGGGGAAGTATTTCGACAAATAATTTGCCTGTCAAGAAATATAAAAACAAGAGAGTGCGCATCCTGGCAAATTTTTCAGGAGTGTTATTTTTATGGAAGAGCTTAGGATGGCGGGGTGGGAGGAGGGGACAGTGAACAGGGAAACTCGGAGCACCAAAACCACATCTGACATTTGGTTCTTGTGTCTGAGAATAAAATTTAATGAGAACAAAAATATGTCTTCCTAATTCCCCTAAGAAATCATTAAAACATTTTGTTATTCTTAAATGTCTCGAAAATGAATTAGAGGCCCTAAAGGGGCTGTTTGTATGGTACATCTCCATCAGTTAAGGCTCCTCATTCTGCAGCTCAGTGACAGCTGGGGACATGTCCCCCGCCCCTCCATTTCTGGGGAGGAGAGCTGGGAAATCAATGAAGTCAGCATCAGGCTTGGCATGACCTCCCTGCTCCCAGGCGTTGGGGAGAGTGGTGAGAAGGCATGTGGACAATCCAAAGAACTCCGCACCAGCCTCGGGAGCTTCTGTAGCTGGCTCTGTAACTGTGTTTTAACAGTCCTGTCTCCAAAAAGATAAGAGTCGCCTAGCGAACCCCAGAAATGAAGTCTTGTTTCCAAGTGGGGGGCTGTAAGTTCCTTCTCACTCTTTCCCTTTATCAGCCCATCCACACTGCCAAGCACTAGACTTGCAATGACAGGTTATTTGAGCAATGATCTTGTCACTCCCGCCACCAGAATGCAAGCTTCCTGAGGGCTGGGCCCGTGTCTAGGTCTGTGAGCTCACAGCTATGTTTCCAGTGTCTAATGAGTGCTGTGCACACAGCAGGCACTCAATAAATGCTGTCTGAATAAATAAACGTGATGAGCAGAGGGCTCTAGTTGAAAAAGTATCTCTTTGCTCCAATAACACTTCTTTTTTCTGCAGCCGAGTCTTATTTCTAATTTATTCAACAAACAATTACTAGGTGCCTCCTGTATACTGGGTTCTGAGTATACAAATTTAGTGTGTCTTAGTCCCAGGTTTGGAGCACTTCACATCTCCTAGGCAAGCCACACACATATATGATAATGGTGAGAGTAGCTAACACTTAGTAAGTACCTGCTGTGTGCCATGCACCTGGAAGCCTCCTAACAGCCGCATAAGGCAGGTTCAAATATTATTCCCAATTTATAGAAGAAGAGACTGAAGCTCAGGAAGGGGAATTAATTTGTCTTCTGTTACCCAGCGAGTAAGTGGCACAGGCAGGATTTAAACCTGGATCTGCTCTGAGCCTGGAAGCACAAGCCCATCTCAGTGCTGACCCTGGTGCTACAGGCAAGGTACTGTGGGGCCCCACGGAGGAGCCCAGCATAGGGATCCCTGCCTGGGATGCATCTCCAGTGTCTGTACTGACAAATGATCCAAAGGATTGAAAAGGGAGGGAAATAAGAGGGCATATTTTTCCAAAAATTTTCCAGATACCACCAATGACAGTGGAGACAGACAGAAAACGACTGCAAGGAACGGTGCTATCAGCCTCTTGCCCATGTATGTGGTGTGGTCTTCAGTGAGGGTAATAGGGACCTGGGCTACAGACACACATGGCCCGCCTCAGCCTTGAACACAGAGCCCGTGGGGCTATGCTGTCTGGCTCCTGCCATTGCCGCAGCAAAAGCATTCATCGCTGAGAAAACCCATATGGCTGCTCTGTGTTCCTGCGAGAGCAGATCAGGGCCAAGCGCAGGACCAGGCAGAAGAGCCTGTGCAGTAGGCTGAATGTTGTTCCTCCCAAATACATCTGCATCCTGAACCCTGGAGCCTGTAAGCGTGACTTTATTTGAAAAGCGTCTTTGCAGATATAATTAAGTTAAGGATCTTGGGATGAAATCATCCTGGATTATCCAGGTGGGCCCTAAGTCCAATGACAAGTGTCCTTATAAGAGAAATGGGAGGGAGATTTGAGACAGAGACACAGAGAAGGCTATGCGACAACACAGGCAGAGACTGGAGTGATGTAGCTACAAGCCAAGGGACACCTGGAGCCACCAGACGTTGGAAGAGGCAAGGAAGGATTCTCCCCTAGAGCCTTCAGAGAAAGCATGGCCCTGCTGACACCTCAATCTTGGACTTCTGGCCTCCAGAACTGTGGGAGAATAAGTATCTGTCGTTTTAAGCCACCAGGGTTGTAATGGTTTGTTACAGTAGCCCTAGGAAACTAACACAGCCTCCCATGTGTAGCCAGACTATGACATGGAGCAGATATTCTAGAAATATCTGTTGAATGTGCCAAGACCTAAGTCCCATCTCTCCCTGGCTGTGAGACCTCAAACATTAAACTCAACCTCTTTGTGCTCTGGGGAAGGGAGCAGGTAGGGCCTGTTCCCACAGGGTTTGTCATATGCAGATTGTAGAACAAATGCAATTTCTACACCAGGCCAGGCTTCTCAAACTTTAACGTGCTCATAGATTTCTGGGGGAGCTTGTTAAGACGCAGAAGCTAATTCAGTGGGCCAAGGATGGGGCCTGTGATTCTGCATTTCTAGCCAACTTGCAGATGAGGCCAGTGCTGCTGGTCCATGGACCACATTTTGAGTAGCAATAGGCTGGAAGACCTCCCTCCTCATCCAGCCCGGGTGTTTTCAGAGTGTAGTTTCCTCAGCATCACTGGATTAGTCTTCCAGGGCTGTTGTAGCAAAGCTCCACCAACTAGGGGCCTTAAAACAACAAAAACTTATTCTCTCGCAGTTCTGGGAGCTCAAGTCCAAACTCAAGGTGTTGGCAGGGCCATGCTCCCTCTGAAGGTTCTGGGGAGGACCCTTCCTTGCCTCTTCCAGCTTCTCACGGTGGCCGGTGTCCTTGGCTGTACCTGCATCACTCCCATTTCTGCCTCTGTTGTCACATGGCCTTCCTGAGTGTGTCTCTCTGTGTCCTTTCCTCTCCTTATAAGGACACAAGTCATTGGATTTAGAGCTCACCCTAAATCCAGGATGATCTCATCTCAAGATCCTTAACTAACGACATCTGCAAAGACCCTATTTTCAAATAAGGTCACATTCTGAGGTTCCAAGTCGACATGAATTTTGGGGGCCACACTATTCAACCCACCCCAGCTGCCTAAGACAGATGGAACAAGGACATTCCCGCCCCAAAGATTCCACAAACGACCTTGACTTCAAATATAAACGACATTCTGAGGTTCCAAGTCGACATGAATTTTGGGGGCCACACTATTCAACCCACCCCAGCTGCCCAAGACAGATGGAACAAGGACATTCCCGCCCCAAAGATTCCACAAACGACCTTGACTTCAAATATAAACGACGCTGTGTTCTCCACGGTTTGGGCTTTGCAGTCTCATGGCTCATGGTGGGATCTCATTTTCCACTTCATGAGCCCCCAGCCCCAAATACCCTGATTCCTGAGACTGTGTAGAAGGTCCAGGAAAGGACTGAGGGGCTGTCTGGGTGGAGGGAGCTAGCACAGCAGGGTCTCCTCCTGGTCCCACCATAATTAAACAAATCATGCCACATTTCTAGACTTCTGTTTCTGGGTCAATAAATGAGAAGGTGGCAGAGGATGGGCCATTTAAAAAAAGAAACTTTTTATAAATGTATGACATACCTATATGTCCTAAGTGTACAGCTGAATGTTCTCAAACTGATCACACCTCTGTAACCCAGACCGACAACAAGAGACAGCATCCCAGCCTGGAGAAGCCCCTCCCAGGAACTCTTGCCCCTCCAGGGGAATACAATGTCTTGACTTCCAACAGTACAAGTTATTTTCTTTTTTTCAGTTAAGGTGAAATTCACAAAAAATGTATCAAAGTGAACAATTCGGTGGCATCTAGTACATTCATGATGCTCTGCAACCACTGCTTCTACCTAGTTCCAGAACATTTTCAGCACCCCCAAAGGAAACCCCATACCCATTAAGCAGTTGCTGCCCAGTCCCTCTTTTATCAGCCCCTCATAAACACCAATCTACTTTCTGTCTCTAAGGATTTGCCTACTTGGACATTTCATGTAAGTGGAATCATATAATATGTGGCTTTTCTGTCTGGCTTCTTTCACTAGCATCACGTTTTTGAGGTCCATCTCCAGTGCAGCATGTATTACAGCTTCATTCCTTTTCACGGCTGAATACAATGCCCGTGTATGGATAGACCACATTTTGTCTATCCATACATACACTGATGGACATGTGAGTTGTTTCCCCCTTTCGGTTTTTGTAAATAGTGCTAACAGATTAATTTTTTCCTCTTTTCATATTTTCTGTAAATGGAATCCTACAACATGTGCTCTTTTGGGTCTGAACATCAAGTTTTTGGGGTTGGCTGTGCTATTCTGATCTTTGCTCATTACCACCTGCTGGAAGAGAGCACGGGGCACCTTCTGTCCCCTGTGGCAATGGGATGGGGGTTCCGGTGGGCAAGATGCCCAGCTCCCCAAGAAGGTCCAGGTGGGTATCTTGCCAGGAACTCCCAAAGCGACAGCCTGGCTGACATTAGAAGGTGGTGGGGGAAGAAGGAGGGAGCCACGTGGGGACATGTCACACCAGACTAGGTGTACACTCCCCCACCCCCATGAAGGGACTGGCCTAACCCAAGAGTCCAGGCCTATCCCCAGATCCCACCACAATGAAGTCTCCGTGTAACAGTCCTAAGGGCAGTTTCTTATTGTTAATTATTCAGCTATACAGCCCAAGTGTTTCTTACCTGGTGCTTCAATTAACTGCTTGTAAACACTCAGAAAAGCGGCCTCCGCCTCCTGACTTCTCTTACTAAGGGCCACCACCTTTGGAAACAATAAGAGAAAGAATCACGTGTAACCATGGCATCCAAGTCTGCAAGCAAATTTGATCATTATCTACCTGTGCCAACATGGGATGGGGGAGGGAGGCAAAATGAAGGTTAAAAGTATGGGCTCTGGAGTTAGAAAACCTGGGTTCAAAGCCCAGCTCCACTTTGTGACCTTGGGCAAGTCACTGTCCCTCTCTGATCCCCAGTTTCCTCATCTGTAAAATGGTGGTAAATAATAGAACCTACCCCTAGGCCTGTAGCGGGGATTAAATGAAGCTGCATGTAAGTGCTGAGCACAGGGCCCAGCACACAGTAGGTTACATATTAACAGCTATTCTTCTTCTTGTATTAAAGGCAATGCTGGAAGTTCAAACATGAGCCACGTTTGGGAGGAAGCGGGGCACATCTGGGGAATATTTCTTTCACTGAAAATTACAGGGAAATTGTTAAAGTTCTTGTAATACATCGAACAGCTTCAGCAAATGCCAGATGGTAACAGTTATGTGAAACAGTTCCTGGTATACTGAAGGTGCTCAATAAATGCTTCTTGACTGAATGAATAAATGAAGAGTGGGATAACCCAGCAGTGAAGTGCTACATTCATGCGATCATTCTCTCGCTCATGGATCTTTCTTGTTCTGCCAATGAGACTTCATGAGCTGCTTATGGGCAAGACAAATGCCATCCTGTGACGTGTGGATGTATGTTTCTCAAAGGAGGGCTCAGCACCATCTCGCCCCTCTGCTCCAGGTTATGAATTCCAGAGCACCACCCTCATAGCTGCCTTGATCCTGGCTCTTGGTGGCCGGTCCCATTGGAAGAGTCCTGGGCCTCCCCTGGTGTATGTCTGGAGCAAGCTCCTGGAACCCATAGGCCACCATCCCTACATCTGCAAGGAAACTCTGGGCTGGTGTCCCACTTTGGACTGGAATGAGCCTTTTTCTCCCAGGCACTCACCTACCTTTCCCTTGGCACCAACTTCCTAAGTGATAATCTACTTGGAGCATCTACGTGTCCATCTCCCTCTATCAGTCAGGCTTTTCTTATAAATCTTAGGATGCCATTGAAAGAGAAAGGGGTGTATCTGCGATCAACTTCCTCCCCTTAAAGTAAGCTCTGCGAGAGTGCTGTCTGGCACACAGTATGTGTCTGACATCATTTGTTGGACGAACAAATCCAAGTGGGTTGCACCAGTGCTAGGTCCTGACTGTGACATCATCCTGGAGTCTCACCTTTAATCCCCATCGGCAGGAGCCATTTCTGAGACAGTCTGCTCACAGACGCAGCCAACCAAGGCACAGGCCCTGGAGCTAGGCTGCCTGGGTTCACATCCCAGCTCCACACTCACTAGCTGGGTGTCCTTGGGAATGCCAGTTAAATCCCTGCACCAAACTGAGGATAATAATACAACATCCTCCCTTAAAGGGGGCGTTGGAAGAATCAAATGATTTAACACATGGAAAGCCCTTTGAAAAACTGGCGTGCACTTGGCCCCACGCTGATATGTTACCTCTAGATATGATCAATCCCCTCCTTCTTGTCTGGTACCAGGATGGGTTATGCCCAGTGCTGGGTGATGACCTCGACTGTGCTTGTCTTTGGTGTCTTACAAAGACCCCCTGAGAAAGGCCCTGCCTCCCCATGCACAGCAGTGCACTTTGGGAAGAAGAATCTGAAAACCATGGCGGTTCAATATGGCAGGTGTGAACCATGCATGGCTACTGAGTACTTGAAGTGTGGTGAATCCAAAACAAGGTGTGCTATGAGTGTAATTTTGAAGACTTTGCACTAAAAAAAAAAAAAGTACAATAGCTCATCAACATTTTTATGTTGATTACATATCGAAGTGATAACATGAAATCACTTTCTACTTTCTTATTTTTGTTTTTGGTGGCTGGCCAGTAAGGTGATCTGAACTCTTGACCTTGGTGTTATGATACTGTGCTCTAATAACTGAGTTAACTGGCCAGCGCACTTTTTACTTTTTTAAAATGTCCCTACTAGAAAATGTAAAATTACATCTGAGGATCACATTATATTTCTATTAGATAGCACAGTCTGAAGATTTTACAAGGCCCATACAGAATTCGTAATTTACAAGAGGCGAAGAGAAATGTATGGTGGATGTTGAACAAGTGATTAAAAAAAGGTCAGTTACAAAAAAGCTCCTTAGTTTCTCTCATTGTTATTCTGAGAACATCCCTAGTCTCTCACCTTTCAGAGTGAATGACAGTCTCTCATTCACTCAACAAACATTTCCTGGGCACCTACTATGTGCCAAACACTGTGGGCTGAGAACGCAACAACGAATAACGCAGACTCAGGCCCCACCCTTATGGGACTTACAGTCCGGTGGGGAGACCAACACTAAGGGGGATTCCCCAGATAATTCATTAATTACAAGTGCTAAATGCTTGGAAGGAAAAGTACAGGCGGCCTTGAGAGTAAGTTGTGGGAGGCTGACCCAGTTTGATGGTGGAACATTAGGAATTGTCTCCCCAAGAAGGGGAAGATGGTCAGGGGCTGGGGGAGGGTAGAACGTTCTAGAATCTAGTCAAAGGAAAAAATCACCAAGTATGGACAGATTTTTATTCTTGCTGAGACGGATAAGATACAGTTTTTGCTCTGGGGACTCACGGTTGAGTGGGAGACACAGTTACGCCCAAGAGGAGCCACAACACGGAGAGAGGTGCAAACGCTGGGGTCTCCTGTCAGCAGAGTGAAGATGGAGTAATTAATTCATAATTTGGGGGACATTTCTGATGGGCTAATAATCGTGATAATAGTAATAATAATAAATATGAATTTAACATTTAGCATGTTCCAGATGCTCTGATTATTCACGATCATCTATGTCAATGGACACACCAATCACCAAATCGCTGCTGCCATTATCCCCATTGTACAGATGAGGAAAACCAAGGCTCAGTGAGGTTAAGTAACTTGACCAAGGTCACCCAGGCAGTGCCATTATTCACACCAGATCTGGGGGTTCAAATTGCTCTTCTGAATCCAGATGACTACTCCCTTTTATCCTGGATAGAAAACTGTCCCAGCTGGTGGGACCAGTCATTCGGACCCCATGTGGACGTTGCTGCCCCTCAAGTCATCTATGGATGCAATAGGTTAGCGGTTGCTCTGCTTCTGACCTGGCGCCAAGAAGACCACAGGAAACAAAAGCAATTCAGGGCTGGCCAGTTAACTCACCTGCGAGAGAGTGGTGCTGACAACACCAAGGTCAAGGGTATGGTTCCTCTTACTGGCCAGCCGTCAAAAAAACAAACAAAAAAACCAATTCATTTTGCAATCCCTAGGTGGAGAATTATCAAAGATCCTCAGCAGAAAGTCTGAATGCTGGGCCGGCCCGGTGGCACACTGCTACAGTGCGCCGCTTGGGAGCGTGGCGGCGCTCCTGCCGAGGGTTCGGATCCCACGTACAGACCGGCTGCTCACTGGCTGAGCGAGGTGTGGGCGCAACACCGAGGGTTGCGATCCCGTTGCCGGTCCCGGTCCAGTATGGGTGCGACACTGAGGGTTGCGATCCGTTGCCGGTCACGAAAAAAGACAAAAAGGAAAAAAAAAAAAAAGAAAGTCTGAATGCTCCATTTACAGTCGTCCGTGCTGAGCAAGTGGGGTGGCTGGGGTTTGGGGTAAAGCATAAGAATGTTCCACTGACTTCTAAGAGGGAATTCTGAGCAGGGGTGGGGCAAGTGCCAGAAGATTCCTTTGATGTTTCCCTTTCTCTACCCACAACACCCCCTACTTTCCCTTCATCGTGCTCTTCAGTTTGTACTGGCACACTATTTATCTCTGACTGTCTCCTTATAATGTCGGTCTTCCCCACTAGAGCTGAGACATCCAGTATGGCAGCCACTGGTGCATGTGCTGCTGAGCACTTGAAATGGGATTATTGCAAACTGAGATGGCCTGTATGTTTAAAATACAGGATTTCTGAGTCTTAGAATGAAAAAAGGAGTGTCAAATATCCCAGTAATTTTTATATTGATTATATGTTGAAATGATAATGATATGGACATATTAGGTTAAAAGATATTATTAAAATTAAATTCACCTGCTTATTACTTTTTAAAATGTAGCCACTAGAAAATTTTTAATTACTTGTGTGGCTTGCATTCTATTTTTACTGTACAGTGTTGATGTGATCGATCAAGGGTTGGCAAACTGTGGCCCTTGGACCAAATCTTGCCCTTCACCTGTTTGTGTAAATAAAGTTTTATTGGAACACAGCACAGCCGTTCTTTTATGTATTGCCTATGGCTGCTTTCATTACAAAGACAGAGTTGTGTAGTTGTGACAGCGACCCGGTAGTCTGCAAAGTTAAAAATATTTACCGACTGGCCCCTTACAGAAAAAAGCTCACTGATCCCTGCTTTAGAGGTTCATCTAACAGTTGGACAATATTTTCAAAAGCAGAGATCAAAAAACATCCTGGAATGGCACTCAGTGTGAATCATTTTATGTTTAGGACTTCCCATGGTAAATATGACTCTTAAGACAGTAGCAGTTCGGATGTCCTGCCTCATTCAGTCTTGTTTCAGAGCAATGACCCTGTCTGTTTCTAGACTACCAGGTCCTGAAATTCCAGATGGCGTCAGACCCAGTATTGGGCCTAATGTGACCAAGCATCTCTCAGTCTCAGTTTGTTCATCCATTAAGTGGGAAGAATAACTTCTACTTGCCTATGAAGCTGTTGGGGCAGAATGAGCTCACATGTAGCAAAGAGTCCTGTGGAAGTTGGCAAAAGCTTTCTAATAAGTCAGATATTTCTTTTTCTAACCATGTAGGATGTCTTTTCCAAGGGCTGCAACTCTCACATGTTCCACCCATGCACCCAGAACAGGTGGAGCTCGGCATAAATAAAAGGCCATGTTAAATAAAAGGCCATGTATTTCAGCCTCATGGCTGTGCCCTATCATGCAGAAGGTGGCAGAAAAGTGTCCAGAATGACAGATTCGGCTGTGACAGGCAGATCTT